CCCCAAGAACTAGGCCTGGGTAAAATAGGCAATAGTGTATCTATGAAGATGCTAATGCAGTATATCTCGGTGTGTATGTGTTATACACACAGATACTGTCTTTTTATTGGTCTCATATGAATTGAGTACCACATTATATTGTGTCCTCCATGATAAAATATATGTGGTATGTGGCAATGTCTTCTCATATATTCATTCTAGTCAAGTAATATTGTAAGACTATAAAATGTATATAGCTAATGTTTGGGCTGTGACATGGCTCCTAAGAGCTGCTTCTAATCTAGCCTTAGTTTACCAATTAACAAAATAGAGATTGGAGCAAAGTCTTGTCCACAAGTCATTTTAAATATCCACGTAGCTCTGGGTAGTTAATAAGTGGTTTGATCCCACTTCTTTAACCATTTTGCTTAACATGCCATGAGAGGCTCAGTCCTGTATGGGATGTTTTTATATCAGTATCAATCTCAGCCCAGAGGTGTAAAGGACAAGGAAATGGGATTGTGGCTTCCTTTAAAGAACATTACTATTAGCCACAGCCTTTTATATACAGAAGCAGTGTTTCAGGATTCAAACACAAGTGGCTATAAGCAGTCCTTTGTGTATTTTCTGGTGGTGTCAACTGGCAAACCTCTGATCAGAGAGGCCCTCTCACTCTGCTGAGAAGTAAATGTTAGCTGTTGCCGTGCTTGTCTGAACAGGGAAGCCTAGGACACATTCGAAAATGCCAGATTGTTAAGACTCCATGCTCCCAGTTGACAGCATTGCTTTTCTTTAATCAGACTTCATTTTCTGTGTGTATTATTCTCCTTTCCCTCTCTGGGAATGACCTGCATTTGAAATAAGCTTCTACCTACTGCATTTATTTTTCCAAAGATAATGTGGGAGGATGTTTTTGTTTGAAAAGAGGAGAAGCCAGAGTTCTGCAGGTGAAAACTGGATGGAAATGGATACAAGACCTCAGAAGACAGCTGTTCCAGCAGCTTCCCAGCTGATCACCTCTATGCTGCCTCTATGTCTATCTGTATTCTACTTCTGTATTCTACTTCTGAACTGAACCTTCAGATTGTAAGCCTTTTTTGGTGAGTTTGTGTTCTGTTTTGTTTCTGTGCTCTTCTGATACTTTTCTAAGAATGGCTGTGCACCACTGATGCTGCTGAATCCTTTGATCACAAAAGCACGTGTGTAGCTTCAGGCCACTATTGGTGAGGAAACCAAGTGTCCTCTGTGCCTTCTTCCTTTCTGTGAACTCATTTAAAGACATCCAGAAAAAGGAATTCTGGAGACTACCGTCCTGTCTAACAGGACGCATACACGCACTTGCAGAGGTAAAGGGGTGTCTTGTCTGGAACTCAGCAGCAGCTGTAAACCTGTTAAGACTTCCTGACATACCGAGTTTTACGTGATGACTTTGCTGGAGTACAAAAAGAAAGTGAAGACTTCAATCAGCTCTGGCATTGCTCCTAACTCACCAAGAAGCTAATACTAAGCTTGGAAAATTATTTAGGGTTCAAGCAGTTGTTTGCTTATTTGTTTGTTTGTTTAATATGGCTTTCTGTGGGTATGTGAAAATTGAAGGAAACCTGACAAGTAGTCTAATGGTGCCAGTTGTTGTTACTACCACACTCTACACAAGTTTCATTACTTTTTTTGTTTGATTGTGGTTGCTGAGCTGCCATTGGGCAAAGCCTAAGACTGCTAGGTACCTTTACAAGCCAGGCTGATGCTGTACCATGCCAGTGAGGAAATAGTACGCAGGATCTAATTGCTAAACTGGAAGAGAACTTACAGACAGAAAAATGGAGAACAAAACAGCAAAAAAGTTGACTGAAATCAAATTCAATCAATATGACTATATTTGAAACATTCCGGGAAGGTTACTTCTTGTCAAACTTGCCTGGGGGTGTTTGTTCAAAACTTGTATTTAATAAATGAGCACCTGACTTACTACCTTTGCTATCCCTTTATTACAGCCTAGTGTGATAGTGTATGCCTATGATCCCAGCTACTAACTGATAGGAGGTATGGAGGACAAAGCCTGCTAGGGCTACCTAGTAAGTTCAAGGCCAGCCCAACTTAATTGTTTTATTATTTTGGCTTTTCAGGATAGGGTTTAGGGTTTTCTATGTATCCCTGGCGACCCTGGAACTTGCTCTGTAGACCAGGCTGGCCTCAAACTCACTTCCTGGGGTGCTCCACCACTTCCTGGCTCAAATTAATATTTAAAAGGGTTGTAGCTCAATGGTAGAGAGCTTGCCTGACATACACATTGCTAAATTCAAGCCCAGTACCACCACCACAGAAAGAAAAAGCTAGTGACATTTCAAAAGTCCCTCTGAAAACCTAGAGGATTTTGCCACTCTCTCTAAGCAAGGTACTAGCAAATATGTGTAACCTGGCTGGCCTAATCTGCCTCACATAGACCTCTAGAGGGACCCTGGGACTGTTCTCAGGAGAAGAGTCTCAAGAAATCTTTTTTTTTTTCTTTTCTAAATTGCACCCTATGACTTTACTTTATCTAGCCTAAACACCAGATCCTTTAATAATTTGCTACCATGTCCTCATCCCCTGTTTCTATACCTGTGACATGCAGGATCTCAGCCTGGTTTCATTTAACATTATCCTCTGCTCCAATATCTAAAGTACAGGCAACTGTTGGATGTTTAGATTGCTGCAACCACAAACCTGTGGGTTCTGCTACTACCCAGTAACTCTTCAGTGTCTTTAAGATATTCTATCTAAAGCTTAGCCCCTCACCTAGAATTCTCTCTCCTCCCATTTCCCTTTTACACTCAGATGGCATCCCTCAGATTCCTCACTTTTCTCCCATCACCCCATTCAAGGAAAAGTTCCACCACTCTCAAACTATTTCCTCTCTCTTCTTTGCTGTCTTGAAGTTCTTGACAATTCCCCTTCTCAAGCTTCAGTTTATCATGAGTTCCACATTCCCCTTGAGTTGTCTAACTTCTATTCTCTTCCATATTTCTTTGTCGATGCAATCTGGTTTCTGAGATTTTGGAATTCATTCTAGTTAATGTCACAAATATTCATACTGATAATTAGCTTGCCTTTTCTTTCCCAAAAATACATAGTCTTACCCTGTAGTCCAGACTGGCCTGAAACTCCCAATCCTCCAGGCTCCTGTATGCTGGAATAACATGGGTTTCACCACCCAAATTATCTTTCCTGCCATAATTTGACATCAGCATCTAAGACAGTTTGTCCCTCTCTCATTAACATGCTCTTGACTCCTTAATCTCACTTCTGATCTTTCTACCTAACGCTCTCATCCGTTTTACTTCTAACATTTAGGCTTCTCCAGAACTTTTCTTGTTCTAATAAAATCTCACTTTCCTACACCTTTTTTTTCTGTCATATCAAAGTTGCAGCCCTTTAGAATGTGTATTTTTTTTTTTTTACACATCAAGGCTCTCTAGGTCTTCAAGATCAGCACCACGCCTACATAATCTTATGTTCTCTCTGTGCTTATCTTACAACTCTGAGACGCCTTATATGACCATTTAGAAATCTCTCTCTTTAAGGGAACAATACCCAAAGCGTTTACTGAATTACAAAATGCATGGCATACTGTGCACCTCAGTACTTATGACCGTCTTCCTCCTGTCCTCATAGCTCCATGTGGCTTGTTTGAAAAACCGGGGTTGGATTCCAATTTTGATTCTGGCTGCGGAGGAAAATGGGACTATAAAAGATCAATTAGCCGGGCGGTGGTGGCGCACGCCTTTAATCCCAGCACTCGGGAGGCAGAGGCAGGCGGATCTTTGTGAGTTCGAGACCAGCCTGGTCTACAGAGCTAGTTCCAGGACAGGCTCCAAAGCCACAGAGAAACCCTGTCTCGAAAAGCCAAAAAAAAAAAAAAAAAAAAAAAAAAAAAAGATCAATTAGCCGGGCGGTGGTGGCACACGACTTTAATCCCAGCCCTTGGGAGGCAGGAGGATCTCTGGGAGTTCGAGGCCAGCCTGGTCTACAGAGCTAGTTCCAGGACAGGCACAAAGCTACACAGAGGGGTGGGGAAGGCCAATTAAAGAAGTGGTTCATTGGTTGGGTGAGTCTGGTGACTTGGGTTAGGTGACGCCTACACGGCCTCTTAAAGCTCCTTTTCAGTCTTAGACCTGCTATGTCTTTAAAACAAACATATCAGCCCACAAGCATCTCACGACGCCCTGCAGCCTCAATTTCCAAGTTCTCTGAAAAACTACGAAACTGCCGCAAGCAAAGTGGAGGAGATAAAGCTAAGAAAATCAACAACGCAGGCGCATTTCCTCACCTCAACTGTCTTCCGGGCCGCCATGAATGGCTGCCCCAAGCAATGCCTGTTTCCCGAGAAAAGTCATTATTCGCTACATGTTCTCTTGCCTCATCTATTCATATCTACATTTTATTTGTGCTGAACAAAATTAACTGGCTAATTAGATTCCACAAACACAGGAGGGATGCCTATATATTCTGAACAGGCACAGAGAGGGGCAGCCTGACCTTGGAAGTGGGGCAGGGGGCCTGCCACGGGTCCTTCCGAGGGTGACATTCAGCCGGCGGTTCGAGGAGACGGACCTTCCACCCTAGACCATGGCCAAGTTTGTCCGTAACTTCGCGGAGAAAGCCCCGGGGCTAGTATCCGGTGAGCGCGGCCGGGGGGAGGCTCGCGGGGGCTGGGGGGGGGGGGAGGGAGTGGGCACCCAGGGGCCCGCGGGCGTCGGCTGGGCCGTCCGGAGGCCCCCGTGAGGCTGCAGCCTCTCCCGGCCTGCTCCCGGCTTCTTCGGGCCCTAACCTCGCCCGGAAAGAGGGTCGTGTGAAGAAGCCCGGCTTCCCTCCGCCGCGAACGCCATGAGGCCCCCTTACCGTGCCCTGGAGACCTGGGAAGGGAACGGCGGAAACAGGGAAAAGTCGCGCGTCAGGCCTCCTTAGGTGGTCTGGCGAAGCATCTGGAAGTCATCAGAAATTTTTCAAGACCGGTAAGACCTTTGAAAGTTGTGTTTGCTTACCGACTTGGTCGGATCCTAGAGAAGCCTGCGTCCGGCGAAGGGAAGTTGGAACGTAGGGATCAATGTCCGTGCCCCAGTCCGCATAGGTAGCGGTGCCTGTCGGCAGTCGTCTTTGTCGTGGTGGCTTGGCTTCCGAGGGCTTGCTGTGTTTGGAACGCCTGGTAGACCGCCGTATCACAGATGAACACTGAATAGTCACACGCCTGAGTAATATATTCTGTCAGTACCGTTCTCTTCTGAGCAGCAAATGATTTTTCGTTGTATTTCTGAAACGGGAGGTGAAATTTACTTTTTTTTTCTTTTCTGTATGTGTACTACATGTGGTTGAAGATCAGATTTTCAAATAGTTAAGTTTCTAAATGTTCAGATAAAATATGAATAGAAAGCGAATTTTTAAAACGTGCTTCTGAGCTTATTTTGCTGTGTTTGGCCGCTTAGTAATTCGTTCCCTTCTCCCCTTCATCAGCAGCCAAACAATATTGAGCTATTGAGGACCGCAGAGTGCCAGACTCTAAATACAGGCCTCCCTCCTACAGAACACTAACTAGTGGGCTAGTAAGCCGTCTTCCACATTCCCAAAGCATTTCTTGTCTTATCTTTCCCTTTACTAAGATCATCACGCTATCTGTTGCAAACCGTTAGGATTTTTACATCAATACACCCAGAAGGCTTGACGCTTGGACTTTGGTGGTTTGAGGTGCGATTTTTAATATTTCATAGGGAATTTCTTTTCCTAACAGTATGATTTTTGCATCATTTAGGTAGCTTGTATTCAGGAATTTAAAACTGGCTTTGTTGATAAAATCAAAAATAAAACCCATTACCAACGTTATCTTTTTTCATACAACACATACCTCTTTCTACTATTGTGAGTAGTTGAAAGGTAATTTGTTCTCCAGAGGTACTGACAGGGGCTCTGACGGGGCGGGACTATCAGGTGGATTTCGCTCTACAGTATAGGCTGCTGTATTAAATGTGACTAATCTCCCGTTCCCCAGGCTATATAGCTTTATCATCGGATCTCCCCAGGAAGGTCAGCATCTGGTTTCTCTACCCTTCACTAAGCTGGGGATCTTATTTGGGTTTCACCAGTTTTTCCATTAATGTCTTTCACTTCTAGGTCCCAGTCCAGGGTATTATCTTACGATTAGTTGTCGGTCTCTCCAGTCTCCCCCTTTTTAGGTCTGATCTTTCAAGATTCAGCAACTTTGAGGTATCTGTCTAGATATCCTGAAGAATGTTGCCCAAACTGGTGATCTTGAGTTTCTCTGCTGATTAGTCTGGACATAGGGATTTTGAGAAGAACAGCAGAGATGAATTGCCCTGATCACATATCAGGAGGCTCATGATACTCAGACCCATCTCTTTTTTGGTTTTTCAAGACAGGGTTTCCCTGTGTAAGTTGGCTATCCTAGAACTGGCTCTGTAGACCAGGCTAACCTTGAACTCAGATCCATCCTCCTGCCTCTGCTTCCCAAGTGCTGGAATTAAAGACATGAAACACAACTGCCTAGGCCATACCCATCTCCTGATCTAATAAGATCTCCCACTGCTAACCAGTTGTTTTTGACAGTTTCATACATTTATATAATGAATTTTAGTCCTTTTCATATGCACACCATTCCCCCTCCCTCTCCTAGACCTCTTCTCAGCAAGTCCACCTCCTACATTCACCCCCCCCCTCCAAAACAAAGAATGTTATTTTACAGTGATGGTGGTGACCAGCCTTATGTCTTCTTTTGTGTCTATACCCATTCTTTAGAAGCCAGTAACCAGAGCAGGCGGGTTTTCTGTTAGAGTGGTGGATGGATCCATCTTCTACATAGATCAAGTGGAACTCTGTGAGAAAGATCTGTCTTCATTTCTTTCTTCTTTTTTTTTCCCATTTATTTTTTTCAGTTGTACATTGCACTGGCTCATTTAAATTTATTCCATGCTTCTCATATCTAATTATGTGTCATTTATTGCTGAGATTGTGCCAGCCGTGGCCATCTGTAGATCTTTTAAGTTGGCGCCTCTGCCCCTTAACATGCCTCATCTTTTTGGTTCTACATGATGATGACTCTATTTCTCGGCCCAGCATTAGAATTGGCCATTTCTCCAAGAAGCCCTAGTTCCTTTTATCAAACAATGGAATTACAAATTACCATTTAGGTACTGGGCTTTTTTTCTTGCTGCTAGAGTCTATTTTTAAAGTTGACAGTTTCATTTGCTGTGGTAAACACCATAGCCAAAAACAGTTGGGGAGGAAAGGGTGTGTTTCATCTTTACAGTGTGAAATCCATCATCCAGGGAAATCGGGGCAGGAACCTAGAGCCAGCTTCTGAGGCAGAGACCAAGGAGGAGTGCTGCTTGCTCCCCATGGCTTGTTCAACCTACTTGTTTTGGGTTTGTTTTTTGATTTGTTTTTTGGTTGTTTGTTTCTGAAACAGGGTTTCCTCTGTGTTGCTCTGGCTGTCCTGGAACTCACTCTGCCTCCCAAGTGCTGGAATTAAAGGTGTTTGCCGCCACCACCCTACTCAGACTGCCTTTTTAGACCTCCAGCCCAGGGGTGGCACCATCCTGAGTGAGCTGGACCCTCTCACATCAATCACCAATCAAGAAAATGCCACACCAGCCAAACTAGTAGGGGCATTTTCTTAATTGAGGTTCCTTCTTACCAAATGACTCTAGCTTGTGTCAAGTTGACACAAAATTAGCCAACACAACAGATATTCAGACACATATTTGCATGTTAGTCTGTAGATAAATAAATGATGATAGAGATGGCTCGGTAGTTAAGAGCACTTCTTGCTCTTGCAGTTTCCTTTTTGTTTGTTTTTCTTTATTTTATTGTGTATACAGTGTTCTGTCAGCATTTATCTATGCAGGCCAGAAGAGGGCACCAGATCTCGTTATAGATGGCTGTGAGCCACCATGTAGGTGCTGGGAATTGAACTCAAGACCTCTGGAAGAGCAGCCAGTGCTCTTCTTAACCTCTGAGCCATCTCTCCAACCCTGTTTTTTGTTTTTCCAGACAGGGTTTCTCTGTGTAACTCTGGCTATCCTGGAACTCACTGTGTAGTCCAGACTGGCCTCAAACTCAGAGATTTATCTCTGACTCCAAAGTGCTGTGAAAGGCATGTGCCACCACCGCCCAGCTGCCTTTACAGTTCCTATATGTTTCTCTCCTCAGTTTGTGTGTCTCTGTCTCTCTGTGCGACAACTTTAGTCCAGAAATTTGCATGTGCTCTCCCACTGAGCTACATCTCCACACTCTGCTGATTTCATCATTACTTCTCCTACTGAATCCATTGATGTGAAACAGTGAACACATCAAGGAATTTTGGCTTATGATTCTAGGGAATTTCTAGCAGATTTAGGGGTTTGGTTGGTTGATTGGTTTTGGTCTTTCAAGACAGGGTTTCTCTGTTTAGCCGTGGCTGTCCTGGAACTCACTTTGTAGACCAGGCTGGCATTGAACTCACAGAGATCCGCCTGCCTCTGCTTCCCGACTGCTGAGATCAAAGGTGTGCTCCACCATCACCCAGTATAGTCTAGTTTCAATTGCTGTTACCAATACAGGTAAATTTTTTTGTATTATGAGTGCAGTTTTGAAAGGGGGTGCAACTGTGCTCTGGTGAAAGAGATTTAATCCAGCACATATTGCTAAGGGTATCAAAAATGGATACTAATTGATATAATTCCATCTGGACTTGTGGCCAATATCGTGATGAGCCTCAATCTTACTATTAAAGGATGTTGTTCTATGTAGCTTCTTACCCTTCTGGACTCCTTCTTTTCAAATACGGTGTTTCTACTAAGAAAAATGAATAAATTGCTTTGTCTTTGTTTTCAAATTAGGGACCAGTAACTTTACAGTTAATTAAATTTGCCATTCAGAGGTGAGTAAATACTAGCTGGCCACTATGAATTGACTGCTTAGAGCTTCTGTCGGTTGAGTGGCCCTGTGGCACAGGTGTTCTGCATCTTTAAAAGCTTCTTGTTACCAGGGAGCAGCAGCTCTGACTTTTCACACCCACTGCACATTCGGTCCAAGCAGTGAGTGGATGTGATACATGAATAAATATTTGTGTCCAGCCCACACATCTGCTTCTTTCGATCTCTAGTGAGTTCATCCTGGGTTTTTTTGTTTTGTTATGTTTTGTTTTCCAGCTGCTGTGACTTACTCGAAGCCTCGATTGGCCACATTTTGGCAATACGCCAAGGTTGAGCTGGTTCCCCCAACCCCTGCTGAACTCCCTGCAGCTATTCAGAGTGCGAAAAAAATAATTCAAAGTGCTAAAACTGGTAGCTTCAAACATCTTACAGTTAAGGTAACTATGGGCTGTGAAAAAATATGTTTGTGATAGAAAATGTCTATTGGGGAATTTTTCCAATTCTTTTGGTTAATAATATATCTATTTCCCAATAAAGTAGAATCCAACATAATGAGAGGTAATCTTTTTTGGCTGCTAAGAAGTTTTGTAATCTGGATAGAAATAATTCAGCTAATTCTTTGTCTTGGTCTAGTTTTGGTCTTAGAGCATAAAGGTGAGCATCTTGAATAACTGGCAGCCTGCATTTCCTTCCTAATATTAGTATAGTATAATCTGATGGCTGCCTTTGCTGGTTTTTTTTTTTGTTTTTGTTAGTTTGGTTTGGTTTTGTCCTAGAATTATCCCCATTTCAGCTAAAAAAAAAAAAAAAAAAAAAAAAAAAACCCTCTAGAATTAATTATTACACAAAACAAAAATACTAAAATCTCGGGTTTTCAAATTGCATGTATGTTAAAGGCCACAAGAATTGGAACTTGAGGGGGCTGGAGAGATGGCTCAGTGGCTAAGAGCATTGCCTGCTCTTCCAAAGGTCCTGAGTTCAATTCCCAGCAACCACATGGTGGTTCACAACCATCTGTAAAGAGGTGTGGTGCCCTCTTCTGGCCTTCAGGCATACACACAGACAGAATATTGTATACATAATAAATAAATAAATTTGAAAAAAAAAAAGAATTGGAACTTGACTTTTAAGTTTCAGTTTTAATAACTGCTGGGGCTAGAGCCCTCACCTGGGGAGTGGGTGACAGGAGGCTTCTAGTGGCCTCTGGCATAACCGAAGGGGAAATGACCTCCAGAAATGCCCCTATTGATAGTAGTAAAGGCATCTAAGTAGTTTTTTTCCAAGTAAGAGTTTCTAGATCCTAGTTTGTGTTTGAATAAAACAGTGCTTTCTAGAACCATATGTGGGGGGTTTTTTCCTCTCTCTTCAAGGACTTAGAACATAAAAT